AGGGATAGTCTGGACATTTTTGTAACAGTGACTTGAGTCAGCGGCTCGTTAAAGGGATAGTCCGGACATTTTTGTAACAGTGACTTGAGTCAGCGGCTCCTTAAAGGGATAGTCTGGACATTTTTGTAACGGTGACTTGAGTCAGCAGCTCCTTAAAGGGATAGTCTGGACATTTCTGTAACGGTGACTTGAGTCAGCAGCTCCTTAAAGGGATAGTCTGGACATTTTTGTAACTGTGACATGAGTCAGCAGCTCCTTAAAGGGATAGTCTGTACATTTTTGTAACTGTGACATGAGTCACGGAGCAGCCGGCTGGATGAAGACGTTTCCTGTTTTCTCTTTGTGTTTTCAGGAAATCCCTCGCAGCACTCTGGACTCGTTCATGCAGCCGTTCCAGAGCACACTGTGGCTGTTAGTCGGCCTGTCGGTCCATGTGGTGGCAGTGATGCTTTACCTTTTAGACCGGTTCAGGTAAACACACAGGTGTTGACTGTAATTACAGTCATCTGTATTGTCATTATTCAGTGTACTAGGAAACCTACACAACACAAGCAGCCGTGAGCCTCAGCAGCTGTCCAGGTGTAAAGTTCAGTGCAATATACATTTTAGTTTATTATTACCACCTTGAAATACTTATTCATACTAATTCATCCTACTTGCATCGTTATATTCTACCACGTTGTTGTTTACTATTTTTCTTTTGGACCTTGTAAATATTTTATATCTTTTTCACTTTGTGCTACTTTATTTTGAGCCTTATTGCACGCTTTAGTACTTCTTGTTATTTTGTTCTTTGTTTTTAGCGAGTCATATCGGTTCTTCTCGTCCTGAACATTTCATGGCACTGTGGGTCTTGTGGTAACCTGCATGTGACAAATAAACAACTTAACATAACAGTGTCAGTGTCTGAAAGAGCCAGAACAATAAGATCCATAGTGAGACCAGGCGGCCTGAGGATTGGACCTCCCTGTGTGTCTGCAGCCCCTTTGGGAGGTTTAAAGTGAACAGTGAAGAAGAAGAAGAAGACGCCCTCACCCTGTCCTCCGCCATGTGGTTCTCGTGGGGAGTTCTGCTGAACTCTGGGATCGGAGAAGGTAACAAGCGCCGGCTCTGACGCCTGTGTTGCTGTCAGCGTCGCCATCTTCTCATGTTCCGTACGGTTGTTTCTCTGCAGGGGCTCCCAGGAGCTTCTCTGCCAGGATCCTGGGGATGGTGTGGGCAGGCTTCGCTATGATCATCGTAGCATCGTACACCGCCAACCTGGCAGCCTTCCTGGTGCTGGACCGGCCTGAGGAGCGCATCACTGGCATCAATGACCCCAGGGTGAGCGCAGGAGCTCCGCTGAACAAGCTACACCTGAGTCAATGCTAAAGGAAGCAGAACTCCATCCAAACGCCAAGAGTAGCCAAAACTAGCTAAAAATTAAATGTTACAAAATGGTAGCTCGAGGCTAAATTATACAATAGGTAAAAGCTGCAAAATGTTAGCTAAAAGTATCAAAATGTTGGCTGTATGCCAAGTGTACTCTTGGAAAAATATTTTTAATCTCACAAGTTATTTTCTTTTTCAAATGAACGTTAAGTAAAGAGTGACAAAAGGACAACTAAAAGTACCAAAAGACAAGCTAAAAGTACCAAAAGACAAGCTAAA